CAAATAACATATAGTATTATTTTTATTAATATGTTCTTTTTGACGGAAATTTTCTTTTCTTTATGGAAATTCTGCCTTAACAGCCTTTAAGGCTTTGATTTAATTTTGCTTCTGGACAAAAAATGTTTGGTTCAAATGTAAATAAAATCCTGTTATCTCCCCTTTACTACTTACATAGAATGGATACTACTTCAACAATTCCTTGTGTAGATGTGAGTTGTCTGTCAAATATTTATTTCACAAAGAATGAATTGCATAACAATGAAGTGAGCTCAAAGCAAAGCATTTTGATAATATGCTTAAGACAAAGAACTCAATCCAGTCATATACTTTGTACTTCATGTCCTTCATGATAATCCATCTTCCATAACCACATCTCACAAACATGCCATACTACATGGATCAGAAGTCCTGAAAAAGACATGCTTTTTGTCGAGCCTGTAACTTTTGTCGCAGAAAGCTCGACGGGGATAGTGATCCGGCGGCGGTAGCGTTAACTAACTTCTTAAAAGCTTCATATTTCAGAAGGTAGAAGACCTGGATGCTTCATACTTTGTATATAGATGCCTTATGATATGAAGTTTCCGTCTGTCATATGTCCACTGTCCTTGACCTCATTTTCATGGTTCAGTGACTACTTGAAAAAAAAGTTAAGATTTTTTGTAATGTTAATTTCTCTCTTATTATGAGTAATAGGATAACTACATGTATATTTGGTATGTGCGTATCTTGCAAGGTCCTCATGCCTATCAAACAGTTTTCACTTGACCTCGACCTCATTTCATGGATCAGTGAACAAGGTTAAGTTTTGGTGGTCAAGTCCATATCTCAGATACTATAAGCAATAGGTCTTCTATATTTGGTGTATGTAATGATTGTAAGGTTTACATGTCCAACTGGCAGTGTCATCTGACCTTGACCTCATTTTCATGGTTCAATGGTCATAGTTTAGTTTTTGTGTTTTGGTCTGTTTTTCTAATACTGTATGCAGTAGGTCAACTATATTTGGTGTATGGAAATATTTTACGATGTACATGTCAGTCTGGCATGTTTTATTTGACCTTGACCTCATTTTCACGGTTTATGGCTTATGTTAAGTTTTTGTGTTTTGGTCTGTTTTCAACTTTAAGCAATAGGTCAACTATATTTGGTGTATGAAATGATTGTAAGGTGTATATGTCTGTCTGGCAGGTATCATCTGACCTTCACCTCATTTTCATGGTTGATTGGTCAATGTTCAGTTTTCCTGGTTAACTTTGTTTCTTAGATACTTTAAGCAATAGGTCAACTTTATTTGATGCATGGAATGATTTTAAGGTTTACATGTCTGTCTGGCAGGGTTCATCTGACCTTGACTTCATTTTCATGGTTCATTGGTCAGTATAGAATTTCTATGGTTTGGTCTGTTTCTTTTATACTTTAAGCAATAGGTCATCTATATTTTGTGTTTGGGATGATTGTATTAAAGGTGTACATGTATTTCCGGCTTGGTTTATCTGACCTTGATCATAAATGTTAATGTGATACTTGTAGTAAAACTTTATATGTAGGACTATCAACATGAAATCAATGGTCAGTATAGTAGGCGATACATTTCAGTGTGTGCACTCTTGTTTTTATATTATCAGTATATACACCGGTAAAAACTTTCACAAAGTTGTGGTAAAATCATTCGGTACCTGGCAAGTAGCAATCACTTCATGCACAAATTGATGCTTAGTGCCCCTCTTTTTGAAGTAAGAACATACTTCCACCTAATCATAGTAAACTGGTGAAAAACATTCAAAACTATAAAATCAGACTTATCAGTGTCTATTTACCATCACAACTGAATCAATAATATATGTATACATATATTCAGATTGACGTCTGGTCTGTAATTGACCTCCATTCCTTAGGTTGATGTCCAAATCTGACTTCATAATAAAATAAGATTCGTCGGAAGACACATTGGTTTTCGCACAATAACTTTAGTTTAAGCTAATAGATCTATATGAAATTTAAACATAAGGTTTATAACAAAAAAGAGAGTTGTGATTGATTTTGGGGGTTATGGTCCCAACAGTTTAGGAATTAGGGGGGAAAAGGGGTCCAAATAAGCATTTTTCTAGTTTCATGACAATAACTTGTGGAACAGTGTATGGATCTCTCTGAAATTATACCACAAGTTTCCATACCACAAAGGGATGGTTAGGATTGGCTTTTGGTGGTTATTGCTCAAACCGTTTAGGAATTAGGGGCAAAAAAGAGAGAAAAAACAAGGGTGTCCTGGTTAATGGACAATTAAGTACAAATTACAGTGTAAGGGAGGTAATTCAAAAACTACTTTGAAATACCTCCCTTACATTGCTTTTAAATTATGTATAAAGAACTTTTGTATTGTCTTGAGGTGATAAGCTGTCAATTCATTTTTAGAATTTACTATTTTAATAATTTTAAAAATGCTGATTAAGGTAAATTAATTTTAGCTATGATTATGTAGGTCATTTTCTATTTTAAAACTTTTATGATGTATTTAAATGGGTTATTATGGTTGCAAACTCCATGGAAATTTGAATTGAAATTATAGCCATGACTGAGGGAAAGAATTTTTTTTTGGAAAAAGAGGGGGGGGGGGGGGGGGGGGGGACAATTTTTTCTCCTCAAGATTTCAGAAATCAAAAAGAAAATCCTTCAATTTTTTTTTTTTTTTGAAAAAAAAGGGGTGGGGGAGGTCAATTCGCAACAGCATAGTGAATTGCACAAAAGCAAAAAAATGAATATAAATTCAAATCATAAAAACCAATTCTAAGTTCTTTGACTACAGTTATTCTGTGTCAGAAACCTATTATGTGTCAAATATTGAATTACAATCCAAATTCAGACCTGTATCAAGCGCGAATATTGTGTCCATTTTTGCCCCAACTGTTCAGGGTTGGACCTCTGCGGTCGTATCCAGCTCCGCTCGGCGAAGCAATTTTATTTAACTTTAAAAAAAACTTCTCCTCTGAAACTACTGAACCAAATTAAACCAAACTTAATCTGAATGATTCTTAGGTTATCTAAAATAAAGTTTGTGTTTTATTTTCTGTTTCCTCAGAAAACATGGTTGCCATGGCTAAAAATAGAACATAGGGTAAAATGCAGTTTTTGACTTATATCTCAAAAACTAAAGCATTTAGAGGAAATCAGACAAGAAGTTAAAGTATTTATTAGGTCAAGGTCTACCTGCTCTGAAATTATCAGCCAAATCAGGTATCTGATTTTTAGGTTTATTGCCCCTGAATTGATGATTTTAAGGAAATTTTGCAGTTTTCGGTTATAATACATTATCTTGAATATTATTATAGATACAGATAAACTGTGAACAGCAAAACTGTTCAGCAAAGTAAGATCTACAAATGAGTTTTATATGACCAAAATTGTCAATTGACCCCTTAAGGAGTTAGTGCCCTTTAAAGACAATTTTTCACAATTTGTTCATTTAGTTTGCCTCCTTAAAAAATTCTTCTCCTTTGAAACTGCTGAATCAATTTCAGCCAAACTTGGGCTGAATGAGTTTCAGAGTATCTTGTATTAATTTTGTATTTTATTTCATTGTACGTCAAGAAACATAGCAACTTTACTATGGCTAAAATGGAACATAGGGGTAAAATGCATTTTTTTGCTTTTGAAGAAGATATGACAGATACAAAGAACATTTAAATGGCATTTTTAAGCCACTCATTAATATATATTGAAAAGCAAAAATAATCATTGATGAAAGATTTAAGCAAAAAATTACAGGTTAGCGATTCAGGTTCTTGAGAGCCTCTTGTTTCAAAATCCTGGATCTGCATCTGATGTGGTGATCTTCTATACAAGAAGAGGCAGATGCACTGTCATCGGATTAATTTGCATAGATTTATTTAAGTTTTTTTTACAACGGTTTCACGACGTGTCAACCTTCGTCTGCCAGTGTAATTTTACTTTCATAACAAGTTTTATTAAAAAAAAAACGGACTGTGTGCAGTCGGTGCACCATCCCGAAAAAAAAATGTCTGAACCATACAAAAACCTGTTTTTGCAAAGTTTTTCTGTGTAATTTACACATTGATTTGTCCCCATCTGAAGTTTTCTACGATTATTTGTACAACTTTTAACTGCACAAGAAATGCCTCCAACTTTTTTTATAACTTTCAGCAGTATCCATAGCAAAATAAATCAGAAAATAAAAGAAATATAAATGTAAACAGAAAATCGATAATGTTTTGATCATACACGTGCATTATTTTTCACGGTTGTAATGGGGGATTTGTCACGTGAGAGGTTAATGGATGCGCCCATGTTTTCTAGGTCAATTATAGATAAACCCGTCTATACTACACTTAGAATTACATTTGAGCACAAGAAAATTTCTGTTTGTGAGTCGGCTGAATCTATGGGTTCAAAGTTCAACATATCAACGGAAATTTTTGCTTTGCTTTACATCAAGGGAAATTTCTGTTTGTGAGGCGGCTGAATCTTTGGGGTCCAAAGTTCATCTTTTTTGCTTTAAATTTTTTCAATAAACTATTTCATTAAACTACATAACAGCGTATATTAATATGAACATGCAAACACATGACATACATTTCGTTTATATCTAAAACAATACTATATCTTAAACAGTATATTTTACATAGAGTTACATTCAAGCGGAGGAAAATTTATTAGAGGCTACTAAATTCTGGAGATCGTCACAGTAGTTCAACCAATTAGGGGAACGCTTATTTGGGGCATATATCTATTTTTACTGCAGGTTTTGGCTGATTTAATAGGAATTATAGAAAAATGGAATGTTGTTTACTTAGTAGATACAAAACAGGGAATGATGAACTCTTATAGCAAAAGATGAATTAGATAGGGGTTCTGTGTATTCACATTATTTGTACAACTCTCCTTACTCTTGGGAGTTTGGTGGAATTTCGTGACCTAAATGGTTCACAAAAATTAATAAATTTATATATAGTTATAGTAGCAATTTTACTTGTGTTTTGTAGACGGAATCAGAATTATTGTTGTTTAGACTCAAAAGGATGGAACCCAATGATTTCAAGATATTTATAGATCATGGGGAGTATGAATCCTACGAAAATCGTGTTTACTTGGCAGGTGCCTGCAAAGTTGGCAAGTCTTGTTTGGCTAGCATTTTGATTGGTGAAAAGATTTCTAAGGAATGGAACTCTACTAACGGGCTAACGATCTACTTTGGAAGAAATGGTATTCATCTCGAAGACAAGAAAATGGTCACACTTGGGAAATGTATGTCAATGTATAAAAATTATAAGCATCATGTAGTATCTTTGATGAGTTTTTACTGAATTTCTTTTGGGCATATTAAAATGGATCTATATGACATGATTGAATTTTCATTTTGGGAAATAAATAAAATCAGACTTGTCTTACTAAATCCTCTATAAGATATTTGTTTTTAGTTTTTATTGTCTCGCATGCGCCAAAAGTCACAGAATGTGATACATAAGGATTACTATCAGGTGGCGGCAACGGGGTAAACTATTTGTGTAAAGCTTTATATTTCAGAAGATAGGAGATCTAGAATGACTAGATGCTTTGTGACAGAATTTATGTAAAAAGTTTGTTGTATTCCTCGCCCTTCATTCTTTGTATATATTACATGTACAGGTAAATGTCAAACACAGGTGAGGTGAGCAGTAATTAAGATCATGTGTAAAAAAAATCACATGGCACTCTTTCATTAAAGGAACAAATATTATGAAACCGTATGATGTTTTAGTTCCAGGAAAATATCTTATAAAGGTCGAAATGGTAATGGTTGTTCCCAATAACTTTTATTATCCATAGTTTTGTTCCAGGGGGAACAAGTATTATGTTTACAGCATCATACCTAGCATGCAGATGCCTTATGTTTCCAAGTTTTCATCTGTCATATGTCCATTGCTTTTCACCTCATTTTCATGGTTCCACAACTGCTTGAAAAAAAATGCATTTTTTTGTCAAGTCTGAGACTTCTGTCGCAGAGCAAGACATAGGGATAGTGATCTTGTTGCGGCGGCAATGTTAACTTACTACTTAAAAGCTTAGTATTTCAGAAGGTAGAAGACCTGGATGTTTCATACTTTGTATCTAGATGCCATATGATTTGAAGTTTCTGTCTGTCATATGTCCATTGTCCTTGACGTCATTTCATGGTTCATTGACTACTAGAGAAAAGTTAAGATTTTTTGTAATGTTAATTTCACTTGTTATGAGTAATAGGATAACTATATTTGGTATGTGCATACCTTGCGAGGTCATCATGCATGTCAGACAGTTTTCATTTGACCTCTACCTCATGTTATGGATCAGTGAACATGGTTAAGTTTTCGTGGTCAAGTCCATATCTCAGATATTACAAGCAATAGGTCTACTGTATTTAGTGTAAGGAAGGATTGAAAGGTGTACATGTTCAACTGGCAGGTGTCATCTGACCTTAACCTCATGTTCATGGTTCAGTGGCAAAAGATAAGTTTTTGTGTTTTAGTCTGTTTTTCCAATACATGTGCTTTATGCATTAGGTCAACTATATTTGGTGTATGAAATCATTGTAAGGTGTATATGTCTGTCTTGCAGGTACCATCTGATATTATGGTGTACATATATTTCCGGCTTGGTTTATTTGACCTTGACTTTATTTTTTGGATCATGTGTATGTTAGGCGAAAAATAAAATATTATTTGTTTCCCCTCCCACGACTGACCCGGTAAAATCACTGCGACCCGAAAAAATTTATTGGCCGTTCATGTCCAATATTTTTTTTTTTGCTATTTTGGTTTTTTGTGATACCTTTCCGATGCTGTAGTCCACAAGCGTTTTAATTCAAGGCATCATTGAAGCGTCTAAATGATTCAGAATCGAGAAAAACAAACAAAATGGCTTGTCACACTATTTGTGTGTCTGCAAGGGTGATCAATGACGTCACTATTATTTCGTGAAAAATATCGTTAATAAGAAAATTTTGAAGATAAGCACCAAATTAACGATCAGTGAAATCATGGACGAAGCAATCGGAAATGCTGAGGTTGATGGTCCTATTGATTATGCCCTAAAGAATGGCAACTTTTCGGCAAAGCTGTCAACATTGGGGAATAGCAGCAAACCATTCTAAATTGAAAACAGTGAGCCATTGAATACAGCATTAGAGTTCCACCCTGGAATTAATACATAAACTTTACAGTAAAAATTGACTCAAATAATAATGCTGAATTGCCCTCAGATACAGTTACTAATAATTCTAAGATCAAAGATACATATTCTATCATGATGAACATCAGGGGAAATAAGCAACATGCTACATTAATTGAAACTGATTTACACAAAAAGACAAATTGTACAACAAAGTGTGTGAACATTTAATGTGGCAATTTTTTAAGTACATTAACACAAAAAACTTTATTTAGAATTAAGAAAAACATCGTTTAGAAAATATTGAATGATATAATATATATAAATCTGTAATAGAAAATATGCCTTGGCATTAGATAAAAATTCTCTGAAACTGAACAAAACAATCCAATTAATCTGCAGCAAAACAATTCAATGATGCGGTATATTTAATAAAAAAAAACTGAAGCATCTTTCAACCCACTGAGTGCATCTTGATTTGCTTGGTCTTTAACCTCTGTTCCTCTGTAAAGGATTGTTTATATCTTTGAGTAAAAGTGGTCTGAATCATGCTTTAAAATCTATCTACTTTGAATTTCAAATTCAATTTAGAAAACCATACCAAGGAATAAAATAAAATAATTTGCCTACCTACCTACCTACCTACCCTCCCATACCCTGAAAACATCAGTCGGGAAGGGAAAACAAAGATATTTTTAATGTTGGCCTTAATGTGATACTTTAGTAATACTTTATATTTATGACTCAAATTAAAATCAATAGTTAGTAATGCAGGCCAGACATTTCAGCTTGTGCACTCTTGTTTGTTATGTGAAATACTCACTTATTATGAGCAATATGATAACTATATTTGGTATATGGGATCCTTGCAAGGTTTACAAGTCTCTCAGACAGGGTTCACCGGAACTTGACCTCATTTCATTCATCAGTGATCAGGGTTAAGTTTTCCTGGTCAAGTCTGTATCTCAGATACTATAAACAAAAGGTCAACTTTATTTGGTGTTTGGAATGATTGTAAGATATACATGTTTGACTGACAGATTTCATTTGAGCTTAACCTAATATTTTTTGGTTCATTGGTCAATTTTATTTCTTTCCCTTTGGTCTATTTCTCAGATACTATATAAGCAATAAGGTATATTGCTGTATGGAATTATTGTTAGATGTACATATACAAAAATAATGTGGTATGATTGCCAATAAGAAAACAATCCACCAAAGTTCAAATGAAGTGAATGTAAGGAATTATAGGCAACTGTGCGGCCTTCAACAATATTAAAAACTTATACTGTATAGTCGGCTTTAAATGCCCCAACATGAAATATATTATACTTTTCAATTGAAAAAACTAACAGGCTTATTCATAAAAAAAACAATTTAAGAAAAACTAATTAGTAATATGACAGACATGAACCAATGACAACCACTGAACTACATGTCTGTTTGCTAGGTTTCATTTGACCTTGATTTCATATTCATGGTTCATTGGTCAATGTTAAATTCATGGTTTTGTCTGTTTATTAAGTACTATAAGGACATTCCAATAGGTCAAATGTATTTGGTGTATGGAGTGATTGTAAGGTGTAAATGTCTTTGAGGCAGGTTTTATCTGACCTTGACCTCATTTTCAGGGTTTTATTTGCCAATGTTAAGTGTTCATGTTTTTTTCTGTTCATCAGATAATATATGTAATAGGTCAAGTATAACTGGTCTATTGAATGATTATAAGGTGTACATGTCTTGTCTGGCAGAATCATCTGACCTTAGCCTCATTTTCATAGTTCATTAGTGAACTAAAGGTTTCGTTGTTATGTCTGTTTCTCAGATATTATAACCAATAGGTCAACTATTATTGGTGTATGGAATGATTGCATGGTATACATGTCTGCCAGGGTTCATCTGACATTGACCTCATTATTAAGGTTCAATGGTCCATGTTAAATTTTCGAAATAAGGTCTGTTTCTCAATAAGCAATAGGCTAACTAAATTTGGTTTATGATATGGTTGTACTTTTTGGTGCACATGTTTGTCTTGCAGGGTTCATCTGACCTTAACTTCATTCCAATTGATCATTCATACTGTTAAGTTTATGTGATACTTGTAGTGAAACATAAAATCAGAATAAGTAAAGCAGACGAGACATTTCAGCATGTGCACTCTTGTATTAGATGACTTTTGTTAACTTCATTAAAGGAATTGTTTTTGAGGAATTTTTTCTATACATTACTAAGGGAAATACGATTACTGAAAGGTCTTCACAAAATTGTTCTGCATTGTTGTCAACTAAATCCAATTTAACTCTTTTCATATATTACAAAAATCTCAGCCATTTGAACATGATTGTAGTATGTTGCACCTGTCATATTTTAAACTGCAAGGACATTCCAGTTTTAAGCTATGTCAATTAATAATTATAAGATATATTTCATTTACTATCTGAAAGGTTTTATCACAGTTCTATACAAGTATTTCTTAGCTTAAAATACAACTTTCAGAGGCCATTACACTTAATTATGAATAAACTTCTCTGAAGATTAAAACATAATACATAATACAGAATTGATGCAATGTTAAGGTCATCTTATATATTACAATGAAAATTTACATTCAGACAGGACTCTACATGAAATAAAAATCCGTTTGCAGAAAAATATCTCAATTTGAACTTTTCTTTTTTTAATGTCCTTAATTTTTTTCAGCTGATACAAGTATTATGAAGAAGTTGTTATTGGGAAACCCAAATATTGCTTTGAAAAAAAAGCGAAATGTTGAGAAACCGAGAAATGTCAATGAAGGGGCAACAGACCATAAAGATTCAGCTTTGAAATTATCTGAATTGAATACTGTGGACAAGGAACTCAAATATTCAGACCAGAAGCAAGAGAACGAAAATCCTCGCAAAACAAAGGATGAAAACCCCAATGTTCCTTCATTGACTGAAAATGTCAAAACTAATTTGCCATCTTATCCTCAAATGTATCCAAAGCACGAAGCTTTTACAATTCAGAGTGATATCTTAAAAGAGATAAGGACTGGTGAATATAAGATAAAAATAGCTCCATCAGATTTAGTAGACTTTGGTGGACAAAGATGCTTTGATATGACACATCAATTATTTATTCAACACAAAGGAACTTTTGTTCTGATGTTTGATGGGAGATACGAATTACATACACCACTTGATGAATATCCACAAGGAGAAACAGGAAAAGGTATGTACAAGTATATGAAATTATATAACGATGTGTGTTTATTCAGTGTGTATTTGAATTGATGAGTATGTAACTTCTATAATCAATAAGAAAATAAGGTCAATATGGAACAAGTGGCGTCGTCGTCGTCCGAAGACACATTGGTTTTCGCACAATAACTTTAGTTTAAGTGAATGGATCTCTATGAAATTTTACCATAAGGTTCAATACCACAAAAGGAATTTTAGGATTGATTATGGTACCAACAGTTAAGGAATTAGGGGCCAAAAATAAGCATTTTTGTAACTTCCAAACAATAACTTGTGTGTTAGTGTATGGATGTCTCTGACATTGTACTACAAGGTTCCATATCACAAAGGGAATGCTGGGACCGATTTTGGGGGCAATTGCCTCAAAGTCTATGAATTAGGAGCCAAAAAAGGGGCAAAAAACAAGCATTTTTCTAGTTTCATGACAATAACTTGTGTGTAAGTGTATCGATCTTTCTAAAATTGTACAACAAGGTTCCATATCACAAAGGGAAAGCTGGAATTGAATTTAGGGATATTTGCCCAAAACGTTTAGGAAAAAGGGGCCAAAAATAAGCATTTTTCTAGTTTCCAGACAATAACTTGTGTTCAAGTGTATGGATCTCTCTGAAATTGTACTGCAAGGTACTATACCACAAAATGAAGGCGGGGATGGATTGTCAGGATTATTGCCTCAAAATTTTAGGAATAAGGGGCCAAAAAGGGGCAAAATACAAGCATTTTTCTAGTTTCAGGACAATAACTTGTGTGTAAGTGTATGGATCTTTAAGAAATTGTACTACAAGGTTCCATATCACAAAGGGAAAGCTGGGTTTGAGTTTTGGGGTAATTGCCCTAAACGTTTAGGAATTTAGGGCCAAAAAGGGGCAAAAAAACAAGCCTTTTTTTCTAGTTTCCAGACAATAACTTGTGTTCAAGTGTATGGATCTCTGAAATTGTACTGCAAGGTACCTTACCACAAAGGGAAGGCTGGGATTGAGTTTGGGTTGATGAATCATAAGGGGGTTCAAAAAATTTGGGGGGGGGGATGTTTTTTCTATTTTAAGACTTTTATGATATATTTAAATTGGTAATTATGGTTGCAAACTCCATTGGAAATTTGAATTGAGATTATGACCATATCTTGAGGGAAAGAAGGGGGAGGTGAAAAAAAATTAAGGGGGGAGGGGGGTAAAAAAGAAACTGATGGGGCAATTTTTTTTTCATTTCAGATTTCAGAAATTAAAAAAGAAAATTTCTTCAAATATTATTTCTTTTTGCAAAAAAAAGGTGGGGGGGGGGGGGGTAAAAAAAATTTCTTTTTTATTGGGGGGGGGGGGGTCAATACGCAACTGCATAGTGTATTGCACAAAAGCAAAAAATTGAATATAAATTCAAATCATATAACCAATTCGAAGTTCTTTGACTACAGTTATTTGGTGTCAGAAACCTGTTATGTGTCAAATATTTAATTACAATCCAAATTCAGACCGGTATCAAGCGCGAATATTGTGTCCAATTTTGCCCCAACTGTTCAGGGTTGGACCTCTGCGGTCGTATCCAGCTGCGCTCATTTAAGCATTTTATTTTTTCTGAAATCTTTAATATAATTTAAACCTTTAGTAATAAGTCTATAAGAAGAACTCGGAAACTAAACATCTCCATCAAGGTAATATAACGGCACAGGCGTTATAAATCAAGATGTATAAATCATCATAGTTTATGGTGACTAAATGATCAATATATATTTATCACAGTTACTGTTGTATTTTTGTATCACAAAATTTTTTCTCTATATTCTGTAAAAATTTCACATTAAAAATTTTAAATATGTACTTCTTCAATCTCATAGAAATTTTAGGCAACATCTAATATACAATAAAAAAATATAAATATAAGTATGTTTCATTTTTGTCTCGCCTGCGACATGCAAGACATAGGTATTAAAATCCAGCGGCGATGGCGTAATCTATTTGTTTAAAGCTTTATATTTCAGAAGGAAGAAGACCTGGATGATTCATACCTTGTATGTTGATTCCTTATGTTACAAGGTTTCCGTCTGTCCTTGACCTCATTTTCATGGTTCAGTGACTGCTTGAAAAAAAATTACAGTTTTGTTGTTAGTGAAATATTTTCAGCTGGAGTTTGGGCCTCATAACTGGAGATTTTTTATCGACATATCTATCGCTTTTTTCAGTGTTCATTTTGATGATAAAGCTACATATTTCCCCTTTTTTAAGATACTATTAATGTATTCTCTCTGTGTTGTTACCATGTGAAAAATTTGTCAACACTAAGCTTTACTATATGAATGTGATTTTTTTTCTTTCCTCATCTTTGTCATCATTAGTGTGTTTCTCAGTTCTATCATCCAACAATTATTTATGTGTTTCACAAGTGTTATTCCATTATTCTAGCTAATTTAGATTTTGCCAGATTTAGCATAAACACTTATACAGTCATTATGATGATAGAAGTTTTTTAACGACCTTGACTTGCTATACAGCCCTTGCACGGTCGGTTTAATTAAACAGTCATCATGAGGATGGACTCTTTTTACGACCATTACTGGCTATACAGCCCTCGCACGGTCGGACAGTGATCATACATGGTCAATACATAAATTATAAATCTCAATTTAAGCATTGAAAAGAAGTATAGATCTCTCAAATAATTTTCAAAATAATATTTTTTGATATATCCTAAGACATTTAAAATCATTAAATTACCATCCTTATAAGATTCTTTGTTCAATTTGTATTTCATTCATATTCTTTCATCAATTCACATTATTTTAAGGAGGATAACTTAAAACATGATAAAACAAGGGAAGTAACCCGAAAATTCTTTTACACAAAGCTTTTATTACATAACGGTAGTTAGCCTGAGGTGAAAATCGTTAATTGAGTATGTTTGACACCCAGGCTGTCAAGTGAAGCCATATAATTATACAAGTTCTTTAATTTACAGGTACAAATTACCTTCATCAGTGACACTAAAACGTAATTAATGTTGACATCGATGGTAATAAAAAATCTTCTCCTCTGAAACTACTGGGCCAAATACCTTCAAACTTTAACTAAATGTGCCTTAGGGTATCTAGTTTATAAATTGTATCCGAAGTTTTGATCCATCGACAAACATGGCCGCCATGGCTAAAAATAGAACATAGGGGTCAAATGCAGTTTTTTGCTTATATCTCAAAAACTAAAGCTTTTAGAGCAAATCTGACACGAAGTAAAATTGTTCAATTGGACAAGATCTATCGGCCCTGAAATTTTCAGACGAATCGAACTACTCATTGTTGGGTTGCTGCCACTAAATTGGTAGTTTTAAGGAAATTTTGCAGTTTTTTGTTATAATCTTGAATATTATTATAGATAGATAGAAACTGTAAACAGCAATAATGTTCAGCAAAGTAAGATCTACAAAAAAGTTTTTTTATGACCAAAATTGTCAATCGACCCCTTAAGGAGTTATTGCCCTTTAAAGACAATTTTACACAATTTGTTCATCAAGTTTGCTAACATTTAAAAATCTTCTTCTCTGAAACTACAGGGCCAAATACCTTCAAACTTCATCTAAATGTTCCTTATAATATCTAGTTTATAAATTGTATCCGAAGTTTTAATCCATTGACAAACATGGCTGCCATGGCTAAAAATAGAACATAAGGGTCAAATGCAGTTTTTTGCTTATATCTCCAAAACTAAAGCTTTTAAAGCAAATCTGACATGGGTTAAATTGTTCAATTGGTCAAGATCTATCAGCCCTGATATTTTCAGACAAATCGAACAACCCATTGTTGGGTTGCTGCCACTAAATTGGTAGTTTTGAGGAAATTTTGCAGCTTTTTGTTGTTATCTTGAATATTTTTATAGATAGATATAAACTGTAAACAGCAATAATGTTCAGCAAAGTAAGATCTACAGAAAAGTTAAATGACCAAATTGGTCAATTGACCCCTTAAGGAGTTATTGCCCTTTAAAGACAATTTTACGAAATGTGTTCATCAAGTTTGCTAACATTTAAAAATCTTCTCTTCTGAAACTATTGTTCCTAATACTTCTTAACTTTGAATGAATGTTCCTTCAGGAATCTAGTTTATGAATTGTATCCGAAATTTTGATCCATCAACAAACATGTCGCCATGGCTAAAAATAGAACATAGTGGTGTAATGCAGTTTTTGGCTTATATCTCAGAAACTAAAGCATTTAGAGCAAATCTCACAAGGAATTAAAATGTTCAAAATGTCAAGATCTATCAGCTCTGAAATTTTCAGACACACCGAACAACCCATTGTTGGGTTGCTGCCACTAAATTGGTTGTTTTAAGGAAATTTTGCAGTTTTTGGTTATTATCTTGAATATTATTGAAGATAAAGATAAACTGTAAACAGCAAAAATGTTCAGGAAAGTAAGATCTTCAAAAAAGTTTAAAAATATGACCAAAATTGTCAATTGACCCCTTAAGGAGTTATTGCCCTTTAAAGACAATTTTACACAATTTGTTCATCAAGTTTGCTAACATTTAAAAATCTTCTTCTCTGAAACTACAGGGCCAAATACCTTCAAACTTCATCTAAATGTTCCTTATGATATCTAGTTTATAAATTGTATCCGAAGTTTTAATCCATCGACAAACATGGCTGCCATGGCTAAAAATAGAACATAGGGGTCAAATGCAGTTTTTTGCTTATATCTCCAAAACTAAAGCTTTTAGAGCAAATCTGTAATGGGTTAAAATGTTCAATTGGTCAAGATCTATCAGCCCTGATATTTTCAGACAAATCGAACAACCCATTGTTGGGTTGCTGCCACTAAATTGGTAGTTTTGAGGAAATTTTGCAGCTTTTTGTTGTTATCTTGAATATTTTTATAGATAGATATAAACTGTAAACAGCAATAATGTTCAGCAAAGTAAGATCTACAGAAAAGTTAAATGACCAAATTGGTCAATTGACCCCTTAAGGAGTTATTGCCCTTTAAAGA